GTATAATTAGATATTAGATTTAGACACAACCTTCTTTGTGAAAAAAAAAATGTGGTTAATGTAGCACGTAAGATTTTTGTAACAAGTAATTTTGACTGTAAATTATTAAAAGAAAATGTAATGGAATGACAAGGGCACGGACAAGAGTCCGTGGAGAATAAGAAATGTAAGATTTAAAAAAAAAAAAAAAAAAAAAAAAAAAGATGGTGTTGTTGCCCAATTTATAGTTGGCTGGTACAACACGGCCGCCTGCCCCCGAAACTAAGGCAAGGTGGCAAGACGTGTGCCAGATAACAGACTTAAACATCCTGACAGATAAGGACCATGCACTACGAGAAAAAGAGATGGCTGTATACTTTTTTATCTTAAAAAACGACGTTGCACTTATTTCATGCAGCCCCATTCAAACCTTAACTCTGTTGGAGTAAGGATGAATTTTGAGTGTGACCATGAGGCACGCGACAGCAGCAGGTGGGAGCTGCGCTCTTAAAAAACAGAGAATCTTTTTCGCCGTGCGTCGTATTGTTAAGGCACGGTGTTTTAGTGTTGTTTGATTTATTGACGCTGATAAGTGTGCTGCCTCGGAATACAAGTTCCGGTAAAAAACTATTTTCTATTAATACAACTAATTAACATTGTGAAGGAAGCCAGAAGCTTTATTAGTATTAGAAATGCTATCAAAGTACCTAAATATTAATTTTCTCCGCGCGCGCGCGCACGGTGCAGTGCTGTTCTTATCGCTGTTCTATTATTATTGTTTTTTTTTTGCTATTTACGTGATATGTTCCGGTTCTTTTTGTTGTGTGCCCTGTGTCTGAGTGTGGTATACGTGAGTAATTACCGGGATTAATCCACTTATTAAAGTAATATTCATCATATTTTCGGTAAGTCAATTTATTCCTTTTATTGTGGGTAGCAGATTGTGAGTTTCCTTTTTTATGTTTTACTTATTTTAGTGTTGCTCGAAAGTGTTTAACGATAAGTACTAGTTAAATTCATTGAATAATGGCATCGCGAAGTGATCCACCGGATTGCGGTGGGTTCCGCAAAAGTCAGTTAATTTCGCGGTCACCACCCTCGACTAGCTCGAAGCTCGAAGCCACTATTTAGTGAAATGTCGCCTGCGTACGCGACTCCTGACGAAGATAGGTCTAAACGTTTGCAATTGGATCCCCATCCGCATCTAGTAATAGTAGTGCTGACTATGTAAATTTAATGACCGAGGCATCGACATTGCTGTCAAAAATTAATGAGGTCGTACTTGAGTCCCGCCTAACCACGTCAGGTAAATCCGTTATTGTGAAACTGACTTAGCGAGTCACCGGTATTGTCGCGATACTAGCGGTAAAATCCTCTTGTACAGAAACGAAATTGTCAAACACAGAGCGCGAATTGCACAAAATAAAATCGTCACTCTCCCTTGCCAAAACTAGCCAACTAGTAAACAACCAGGACAATAAAGTGTCATACGCCGAAACTTTAAAACTTCGCCTACCAAGGTCGTGCCCGCGATGGAAGTGTGATCTACTCTGGGAGTGTGATCTCTGGCAGTATGAACGTAACACTATGTTAAATAATTTAATTGTTTCGTCAGGTGCAGCTTATTATGTACGGACCTTGTGGAATCTAGAACAAATTTCCGTGCGTTTAGGCGCTTTTGCCATGCCTATTACTGGAAGCAAGTGTAACAGTTCACACATAGGACCCACTTAGATTTTAGTCAAATTTCCGTGGTGCTTGGTGACTCTGGGCTTCACCCAGTTGTACAGTCTCTTTTCTTTGTGCCTTTAGGCTTGATTCACTCTGTCTCCTGCAGTAATTCACCGAGGGAATAGGAAACTATCGTTTTTTTCTTCTCCTCTTATAATATCTTCTGATTCACTTCGTTGCGGGAACCAAGACAGTTACTCATGTCCCTGGGACGCGCCGGACTTCAGTGTTCTGGTGTTTTCATGTTTGTATCTACTGTAGATCCTGGTTTACAGTAGTTGCAGTTGCGGTTTTGGGAGGTTGTGGCGGGCTTGTCCCATAAAAATAAATATATATATAAATTTTAGAACTAGGTAAGTACATCACACTTGTTTGCTAAATAATGCTGAAAATTTCATTTTATCACCGTGAGGTGTAGTGTGGTTTTCTCATGTATGCAAATATTCAGAACTTCTACTTTATTTAACCCTTTTATTATTGTAGATGAAAAAAATATCACCCATATGAAAATTATGAGAAGCCTTGATGAAACTCGAAAATTAAGGAAAGTATTGAGATTTTTTAAGAATTTATTTCGACTCTTTTTGACGATCAAACAAAATGGGATTACTTTCAAATGTTGCCTGTATTCATCCAAGATGGATAGCCTCCGCACGAGTTACCATACATCTCCGACGTTGATCGTCTATTAAACCCATTTGTGTCTCTCCGAATGATTTAACCCGGAATAACTTCACATAATGTCGTCTAAAAAATACAAAACTCTAAAATAGGTGCAGCTACTCGTTTATTTCCCTGAGTCGGGACAAAAAGCAATACTAGGGAGGCGCGTGCTCACTAAAATGGTAAAAATAAAGTGGTAAAAATAGCGGGCACAATAAAAATGGTAAATTTACGCGGTCCGCCGTCTATGGTCGACACTTATGCTTTTTATGCGTGTTGTCTTTGGCTAATGATCGCCTCGTGACTGCTTGCAAGGCCGGTGAAGTTCTATGGAGCGGTAACTTGTTACGCCCACAGATGTATTACTAAATTAGATGCGCATACGTTCGTACATACTCATTAACGTATGTAATTACAGTGTATCAGTTCCTCTCCAGTTATTCCTCATTTTGAAGTCTTCTGAATCTTTCATCGGTAGCTTTATTACGGTTATTAACCTAAGATTGATGTTAGATATAGTACAATTACTTAAATATCAGCTTACATTTCGAAACATAGATTTTTCAATTAAAGCAAGATTATACTTTATTGTTTATTTCATCTGTAGATATATGATGCGATATGAGACCGATACAATATAGAATAAAACATATTTATAAGATAAAAGAAACTAAAGGAGTTTTGATAGTAATCTACCGATTTAGGTGAGTCATCTTTCCGAACTGCAATTGTGACTTCTAGTCATCGAGGTAGTCACCATTACGCACAACATTTTATCTTTTAAGTACCTACTTAGTAATCTTAAGTTTCAACCATATTCATATCTTTATTTGCATTCCATAATGTTTCTTAAGATGTTACATTGGCTTAAAGCTAGGGCACAATTATGGACCCTGTCGGGTACAGCAAAATACAAAATTTAAGTTTCAGAATTCAATTCAATTAATAACACGTTACCCTTTTCAATAATTATTAAAATAAATAGGCCTAAGTAATAAGTAACATTAAATAAAATTAAGTCAAGCTCATGATGCATCAAGACAACAATTTTTCAAAGAAAAAAACAATAAAATCTAAAATCATCATGTCACATATAGCTTCCTATAATTATAATTAAATAATGTCACATGTAATATCAAGTCATACCAATGCATACAGGCATGTCAGTGTGTATTAATGTTTTAATTTTGATGTGTGCGGATCTAACTGATCCTGTTTTGTGTTACTTCTATATGTAATGAGTTTATTGAATTATCATTTAGGTATTCATTATTTGTGTAGTAAGCTTTTTCAAATAACATTAAAAAAATGTTATTTGAAAAACCTGCGCTATGAATTTGGTTTCACTGGTTTCTGTTTTAGTACATCAGGAAGTTTGTTATATAATATTTTTGTTGACATCACATAAGGACTATTTGAGTACAATTTCATACCAACCATAACTATTCAACCACTTAATTAAGTAGTAAGCTATAATTAGAAATGAAAAGAATGGGACAGATTATTCAGTTTGGCTACCATTTCAGTAAGTTGTTAAAATGAACATAATTTAGTTTAGGTACTTCTAACATTTACAACATTGTATTATCACGCATTGTGTTTCTCACAGAAGTAGTCACTTTTACAAAAAACCATGCGACATTAGAAAATCGATAAAAAAGTAATTAGCAACAAAGTCATTAACTTTATTAAAAATTAAGGCAATGATTTTAAAGGAAACAGGTTACTTGCGTAATCTAATTTCATAATGATAACATTATGAGAATAAAAAAAATGTAATTTGCAGTTTGCATAAAACCGGACTAATACTAATTTGATTGATCAATTAGTAAATTTTTAAGTAGAAATTCATACTGTATAGGTCATTTAAACTGTGTATTGTTACTGTATTTACTACTACATACTTATCTACAATTATTACTTATTAGGAAGAATAAAAATGGATTGTAAATCTGTATCTTGTAGAAACCAATATTGAAGTAAGCAATAATGTTTTGGTCTTCACTTAAAATATGAGTTACTTTGGTAATGGTTCTGAAGGAGACAGATTCTTCAATGTATTCTTTGAGACAATAAGCGAGATTCATTTCGCCAAAATTGCACCAAGAGAGTCAATATGACAATATTTGGGTGAAGTATTTCTTATTTAAACCTAATACTCGAGTTTATGTTTGAAAACGTCACTTTCAAAAAGGGAAGTCGCTAGTAAACTGCTGCCTAATAAGTTAATTCAATACAAATATAACCCGGGGCTTCAATCGCGATCATTTATTATAATTACGAGCAAGAACAAACAGTTCCGAGATAAAGCTGAGTAGGTATGTTCTCAAATTAGTTGCAGTCAAAGAAAGTACCGGCCGGGAGCACGGGAGCCGCTCGTAAAACATAAAAAGTGCTTATGTGGCGCTCACTGCGAGGGCTAAAACACGACGTCAGGAAGGAACATAATGTAGTAGCGGCCATAAAAAGTGAATGCATTGCGTGCACGTGGAGTGCATCGGGGAGGTGCGGGGTGTGCGGGGCTGCAGGGAGGGGCGTGGGGGTGTGTTTACCGCGCGGAGGGGCGGCCGCCGGGCGCCGGCAGCCCGCGCTCGCCGCCGCTACCGCCAGTGTTGTGGTAGGTCACACGGAGCGCGCTCGCACCGCGTGCCCGAGTCATTCACGATCGCGACTCCGCGCCGACATAACATGTAATCGGTCTCCTATTCATATTATCACTTCAAATTTTCTTCGCAATTTTATAAGGACTTTGATAAGAAGTTGTTGACCAACAATAAACTTTAAAAACAAGTTAGTGCAAATAAATGCATTTTGCGGTGAACCTAGAGTGAAATGGCCCTGTCGCTGCAGTCGACGCAGAATTCAAGAGGTTTGTGAAGTTTACATATAGTTAAGTGCGCCCTGCTGTCTCCTCGGTTGGCTGAATCTGGAAGTGCATGTGTGTAACAAAGTTTCAAACGCGCGGCGGCAAGTTGAGCGGCATGCGTGGACCGAGCGTTGCGATTGGCTACCCATACGCCCGCGCTTACCGCACACATGTTTATTTGCATTCAGCGAACTTTGCAGATTCAGTGAACCGTAGGCGGTAGAGAGCGCGTAGCCGCGCGCTACGTCTCCGCTACGAAGCGCGCGTACTACGCTGCTACGAGATTTGGTTGATCTTTGTTTTACGTGAGATTTGCCAGTATTTTGTGATGTGAGTAATTTTTTTTTTAACAATATTTTAATTTGACAAAATAAACAGTATTTTTTTAAGTTAATACTAGTCCAAAAATAATCATAAAAATATAAATATTTTGAAATTTTATGGTCAAATTAATTAGTTTTCCTGTTCACAAAATACTTGTAAACTTAGAATAAGTGGTGTACTGGATCATACACGTTAAGGTAGGTGGTTTCTGCTTGTGTTTAAACGATAGGTTTAACTTGTTTAGAATGATTTGATTCAGATATTTTTATTGCTTCTATGTTAACGTAGACATGACATGGTAATGAAGGTAATATGATAGGTAGTACATTTTAAATTTTAATTCCGTTTCGATACTTACATAGCATAAAAACAAAACATTTGTAATATTATGATTCCACATTTAATTGGAAATAATAATATTGTTTTATTAATCGGAAATCGTAATCGTAGTCCACATTTAATCGGAAACAATACTATTGTGTTATAATTGTGTGAAAATGTGGAATATCAAAATTGATGACGACATTCATAATAATCATTCATAACTTAATGTACTACGGAAATCTTTCAATTATGTATTTTAATAAATAGTCTTAATGTAATCTATACCATACATACATCTTCACTTTCTTTCCCGGTACTCGTCTCATACTACTAACGCCATCTAGCTGCTATCATATGAACATATTTTTTATTTAGAATCCCATTTTTTATTATTTACGCTGTTTAATGCAACAATTTATTAACTGATCCATTGTGTAATTACCATTACGCAATTGATAATAATTATTATAAAATTTACAACAAAAAGATCATAAAATATAAAAATAATAACTAATACCTAATTAACGATTTGCTTATCCATCAGGATATTATTTAAAACATGATATTGCGCAATATAAATAGCTGCTACCTACACGCAACATTATTGTTTCGCAATCTTTAAAACACTTATAATAACATAATAAGAAATACACAAAAAGATGAACCATTTTACTTTTCACTGTAGGTACAGATTTGTATTGTCTGTTAACAAACTTTTATTGCCTTATTTAAGAGTGCAGAATTTAGTACTAAAACTTTGTTGAACAATTGTATTAACATTGCACGGCACATTTCTTTGATGTTAAACAAAGAATAATGATTGTTAGCATTCATTACGTAAACGATTAATTATATCAATCCGTTTTATATCATTCATATAATTCATATAAATCTGAAAATTGGTGTATGGATGTTAATTCAGAAATATGCGAAAAGCTAATCATGTTTCGAAACCAAAAAATATAACAAATTCTTTATTGCTTACGATAATGTATTAAGTGGCGTTAGGGAAATGTTTATAGGAATTGACATTACTGACACAGTATCAATGTTTCGCAAGATGTATGAACAACTAAGAAAGGACAATAATTTTGTAGGGAGACACAAAGAAGATATCCTTAATTAAGATAAATTGGGATCTACGTTTCTTACCCATAACGGGTGGTAGAAGTCAGATCTTAATCGCTCTCCTGTAAATGTAAACAGGACCATCAGAGTGAAACTGACTTTTCCTCAGTGGCGACCCCTTACTTACTTGGCAAAGGCTCAGAACGATAGTAGGCAGTTTTCCGCCAAGGTTAATAAAGTACTAAAGTTACCTGTTACGGCTACTGTTATGTCAGAGAAGCCCCATTTATACGGCGCGTGTATCGCGCTTAACCCTAAACCGCCGAAACCGTACGAACTCTGTAATCTGTGCTAGTGTACACGCTCCTAAAGCCGCCGGTAGCCGCAGGTTAATCCCATTATATGGCACATACCGTAATTACTTATTAGGTCATCCTCTCAAACTGGGCAGACAAGTACCATTATAAATTGAAATTAAAGAAATGACCTACTTACTGAATCCGAATGACTAATAAGAAAATCTAAATTAGAAAGAACATTAAAATTGTTATAGTGTATAATGGCCATTATCTTAATGAAAAGCAGTTATTTTCAGGAAGCTTGTAAAATTCGATGTAATTACTACAAATATACGTTTGAATGTAAATTCCTAACAAAGAACAAAGCTTTTAAAGAAAGCCTCGTATGAATATAAGTCACCAGTAGCAAGTGTGTAGCAATAAGGACGTCATTGACACGTCCGTTATCGGGCGAACCCTTACGCAATAATGAGTTATGGAGTGGCGGCCGCAGGCAACTCCATAAAAGTATTGAATATGGGTTATTGACAAATATTTATGGCGTATAAAGAGGGGATAATTACAACTCTTTAGCACATAAAAAGCTCCGTGCGGAAGGGTGCGGCACGCTGTAAAAATTTATCACCAACATTGTCACCCGCCGGGCCCCGACCGACTAATAAAAATGATACATTATGACGATGCTCTGCACAAAAAACGTACTCAATAAGTAATCGATAGATTTAGTAGGCTCCCTTAAATTATGCTGTTCAATGGATGTATTCATTATAATAGCTTTTACTACTAATTACATCAAATAATTTTGCGTAATGTTCAGTTATAATTATGGACATTTTATTCGTTAACTAAACCAATTTGGGAACACGTCAAAGTAGAAGATAGGCTTAAAACAAAATGCGAGTATTTACTTGTTTAAACTTTTACATTAAGCCTAGTATTATAATTCTGATCACATCACGAGTGCGGTTCGCTGTTCGTCCTCCAAACATAACGAGGAATGTTATTAAAAAGTTATGGGATAAGCCTGTACGTGCCGCGCGCGACGCCTCCGCCTAATCACAAACTTTAAAATTATCTTATACTAGATACTTTGTGTATTATCAATACGTACTTTCAATAATAATTACAGTATGACGTTACAAAAAGTTTCTTTAACAAAGAAGCAGAATTTCTTCGTTGTTGATAATATAATTGTCGTTTTAATAAAAAGTGTAAAGTGCCTCGTGTCAGCACTCGCAAACGACAAAATATTTTGCCTTTTTCAATTAAGCGCGATGGCTGAGTCCAGAGCCCGGCCGGGAATTAATTCCACGGCTAAGTAGATAATGTAAGGAGCTCCCTCCTCGTGCCGCCTCTTCACGCCTCGAGGAGAACTTTCAATTATGATTTTGTCTAATTTTAATTAAGTGCTCTCAAAAAGGCTTTTCTTCAACGAAATTAATATTTGAATATAATTTGGGCGGAGCGGGCGGGCGGAGTTTGCCGCTCGAGGAATAATTAATTCCATTATATAGGTAAGTGGTCTGGTCGCTTCACCACCCCCGCTCCCGCGCCCGCACCTCGCCACGACACTATACAAACTCGTCACACCAAATGATTGCTTTTCACTGCTGACATTTTCTAACTGACGTCTACTCCGGAAATATTTATTTAAAGGAAAAAGTAGTCTTACATTTATCAATATTACCGATTAATAAACATCGCATAGAAAGTAATTACATAGAGCTGGAGTGGTGGTGAGTAGTTAGTGTGGAGCTACAATTTGCGCAACAGGTCGGGGCGGAAGCGACCTGCAGCGGCGTGATTGCGACCAAATGTTTCCTTTACAACGTCTGGTTAAGTTTTTGCTCTGTTTTTTGTTCTCTCTCGCTGATAAGTATGCTATCGATAGGTTCGACTGTGTTATTTGTTTAGGTTGAAACTAACTCTTGACGGAAGTGATGCCGAAGAAACTATAACTTAATTTTTTACCTTCTCCACCTTGACGAAAGTAGGCCAAGTCTCGATCAGAACAATATTAAACAGTCTTTATTACTTATTTCTTTATTTATTTAGTATTTATGAGAGCTCTGATAGCTCTTTTCCATAAATGTATAGTCCACTGCAATTCACCGTAAACGTACTTACGTAGGGACAGTCTGACTTTTGAGCAAATATGAGAGTTAATTATTATTGTTTCTTTGTTCAGGTGTGTCAGTGAGACCGCTATCGACGATGCGTCAAGAGTCTTTACCGATGTTGGCGGAGAGGTTGCTGGCGACGCGCGCCGCGGCACTAGTCGCGGGGCTCCCAGCCGAGCTGTACTCTGGCGCACTGCTGGCCGCCTGGCCACCCTCGCCTCCCGCGCCGCTACTACCTCCCCAAGACATGGAGCGCGCACGCAAGCGACGTCGCACGCCCAAGCTGGAGGAGACCACTACCGCACCACCTTCCCCGCCGTCTTCAGGCTCATCACCCGGAGCTGCTGACCCACCTCGGGATAAGCTGTTCACCTGTAAGGTGTGCTCACGTTCTTTTGGCTACAAGCACGTCCTACAAAATCATGAACGCACACACACTGGTGAGAAGCCGTTCGAGTGTGGAGAATGCCACAAGCGTTTTACGCGCGACCATCACCTTAAGACACATCTGCGCCTTCACACGGGTGAGAAGCCATACAGCTGCCCGCACTGCCCACGTCATTTTGTGCAGGTTGCAAACTTACGGCGACATCTTCGCGTTCACACTGGCGAGCGACCTTATGCGTGTGCTCGTTGTCCAGCTCGATTTTCAGACTCTAATCAACTAAAAGCCCATGCATTAGTTCATGAAGGCGATGCTCCTTTCGCGTGTCGATGTGGGGCGCGCTTCAGGCGTCGGCAAGCAGCCGCTCTGCACAGATGTGCCAGCAGTGGTTATGAGCCTGACACGCCGAGTCCGCCCGTGGCGACAGCGCCCGACTGGCGTTGGGACGAGTGGCCCGAGCAAACCGAGCCCGAAGACCTGTCTCTGCCGCGAAGGCCGGCCACGCCGGACTCCCCCACCGACCTGCGCGTCCACTCCGCGTAGTGGGCACGCGCCCCCGCGCCACGTGCGCCGCTGAGCCGGTATACGAGTTCCTCCCGCGTAGACCCCGCGCTGCCGTCGGCCGTCGACGCCGATGTTCTCGCACTCATTTGTTCAGGATGCTCGCTCTTGATCCCTTGATTCCTTACAAATTCCTTGCGAAGTAAAAATAATAATTATTGCAGTTAAAAATAACGTTACAGTTATACTTTTTATAGAACATTTTTTGCTTTTCTCAGTAAGACTACCGACGTAGTCTCGTTAGGTAGTCCTCTATTCTTTTTTACGATTTAACATTTGCAATGGTCGCCATAAAAAGTACGTTTTTCATCCATGTTACAGTTTAGAAGTTTATTGTTGTAGTATTTTGCATAATCGCAAGGCGAGGTGAGGTAAAAACGACGACTTTTTGTTCTTTTGTGTTGCAATATATTGCACAAAAGATATTTTTTGATTTATAGGTATCGCCAATTGTTTCGTGATAAAAACAAAAAAAAATGTTTCGCTATGTTTGACACTATTGATTTTCAATCGGTGTCCTCCCTCGCGCTTAACGAACGGAAACTGGAATATGGTCTAGCCGGAGAAGGTCGCGACATTGCCTCATTATTTCGGCGACAAAGGCTACTTCACAAGCGGTAATTATTGCGTATTGAGCTCGATATCGAGTTCCGACTGACAAAGCTATTGCTATTGTACGCGTCCCGATTCGTAGCGACTCATGATAACCGGTTCGTAATCACTCTTTTCATTATTTTATTTCTTAAGTTTTCTTTCAAAAGCTTTTTAAAAGTTTACTCGCTGTGGATACTTCTTTTCTCTTTTTGGCGCAATACCAAATAATACTGGTTTGGAAATCATGATACGGGATAATTGTATAGAATCATGGGGTTTTGTAATTATAATAATATGATTAAGAGCGGGTATCTGAGCGTCCTGAGAGCGGGCTCGGAGGTCCAGCCGACCGCGCGCACCGTGCTTCTGTACATAATGCTGTCTCTAACAAGATTATTTATTATTTATCCATTAGTTGGTAGACGTTGCGATATCTTTACGGTTTCAAAGCCGAAAACGGTATTGTTAATATTACGTGTACATATTTATGTAGTCTTACGTAAAGTACGTAGTAGAGAAGTTGGTGTCTCGAAAATTATATTTCAAATTATTTAAATTCGATTCGGAACCCACTTTCAATGGGCTGTGCTGTATTGTATGGGGAATATAGACAAGTGGGTAATATGTGTTATAGAAATTATTGTGTAAAGTGGGACCATGTGTACTGACGATTGCATACGTTAAGGTGAATATTTACTTGTAATTATAAGCAACAGTCAGAATATTTAAAGTGTTGTACATATTCTTAGAGTTAAATTATTAACATCTCGTCGTACGCATGGCCCCTGTGTTATATATGAATGTGTCCTCGTTCACACGAAGATGGTGTATTGAGCATTATTGCAATTTGTTCTACGGGTATTAGTTTCCTACTAGATGTAATGTTTTATTTTCGATGTTTTGATATAATTTAATGTCAAAGTAGTTGTTCTGAACGTTGTAGCGCACATGGTTTATGATGATCATTATGTAATTATATGGTTAGGCTGTACTGTTTGTTGATTATTATTATTTTATCTTCTCGAGTCAAGTTTGTAGTAAACGTAGGGTCTTAGCGTAAGTAATGGGTGTAGGTGATCGATATATTTTTTTCCAAAGAAATAATTGGTACAAATATAAATGTGTACAAATTTAATGATAACTTTCGATTAGAAGTCGTAATTTCATGTTGCAATGTTGTAATATTATGGTAGTTAGCGTAAAGTTAGGCGTGTCTGCCATTATCTACCTCAGTTGACTACGGTTACTACGCCAGGGTAAAGAGCCAAAGTTCTTGGAATATTTTCTATAGTCTGTCAAGGTACAGGTGACAGGATGGTACAGCGGCCACCATGTGGTGTCGCGTGATCATTACTTTGAGACTGATTTTTATTCGTTATTTTGGTTACCGCTTGTACGGTACTTGTGAGCACTAGCCTTTGCACTGACGAGTATATTTATGTATCTTTAACTTTAACATAAATACTACATCATTGATAAACATCTTTCGATCAACACAAAACTAAAGATACATATTTATAAACGCAGTGTAAAGGTTGCAATTAATTTGAGTTCCTATTTAATTAAAGATTTGAAGTGTTGTTTTGGTTAATATTATATGTTTATAATTAGTTAGCGGCGTATATTTCGGTGCCATGTCAGGATGCAGACCAAATCGTAAGATAACACTAGTTAAGATTGTCTGTTAAATGTTACCGTAGGAATCCAAAACCTATCTACCTCATGTAAAATCGAAATACAGGTATTCTTAAAACATTCGTAATGAATTACTTAGTTCGGAATAACTGTACTTGTACAAAATAATAATATAAGATATAAATGTGTCATAATTATGGTACGACTATTATATGTATTTCTTTATCAATGTCCAGTACATAATTATTAAAATAAAGAGATGTTTGTTATTTATACATTTGTATTTTTCTTGTTTCCAATTTCCCCATTTTATTGTAGCGCCGATACCCAAGTCTTCTTAAGTCACATACAGTGTTGAAAAGATAGTTGATATCATTTATTTCGTAATATTTAACAAAATTATGAAAAAATACACACACTTTTTAATAATCTAATATCTATACATAATACTGAAAAGCAATAACAGAATATTTCTCCATTTTTTAATCGATTGACATTTAAACTGTCAAACACCAAGCGGTCACCGGTGACCGCAACCTATTGTTCTATAATTGTGTCTACAAAACCGGTACTAGACGAGTTAAATTTGAAATATCAGGCACTTAATATGAATTATTCTATAGAATATACATAGAATATATACTCTATAAGTCTATAAGATCATATAAAGAACTACAAAATATAAAAGCTATACAAAGTTTTCAATGTCCCTCGTAACTACCAATAATATACAGTTCAATAAAACTAATTTGTTGTTAGTGTGTGATAGGCCCACAATATCTACTAAGTAAGAAAAGTGTGTAATTTATCTAAGATCGGCCGTAAGTAATGAGTTGTCGCACTAATACACTCACACGACACCGGGTGTACGCACACGGCACGCACACTGACGCATTCGTCCCTACCTCACGTTCAGGGTCGAATCACCCTGTATGGAGGTAGCGTCTTCATTTAAAGTATTCTTTTTATTATGGCAATTTAATGTTTTAGTACAGTCGATTACAAGTACTTTTAATGTAATAATCTATGCATTAAAGTTATAATGAATGTGAAACTTATTATATGTTACCAAATTTTAAACAGAGCACAGCATAAATTAAAAAGACAGATACATGATGATAATGATCCCAAAATAATTTTGGTAATGAGACGAATGACAATGTGTCTATAAGTTGTTCTTCCTTTTGAATTTTTAAATACTAATTTCTGATTAGTGTTGTTTTCTACTAATATTATAATTCACCATCCGATTAATATCTGCCCTTTACAATTCCAGAGAGGTATTACATATCTTTGATTTTCATTTGTTTTTGATAGAATGTATCTGTGGAGATTTTTAATTATATTTAACACAGTTAAATTAAAAAATATATTGAAAGTATACTCAGCTGTTTGAGGGCTCGGAAACAGTACAAAAACTCGCAACCTTCTAGATTTGACATAATACTAGGAAGCCATTTTGTAACATATCTTTTTAAATTCATAGCGAGATTTTAACATTGTAACGTTACCCAAGTCTCAAACAAACAAGGGCGAGGGTGTAATATAATGAATGCAAAAATACGGCTGCGCTTGCAAAATACTAAAAATTGAATGGGGTTTTTTATGTCAACCGAAAGAAATATTATTCAAGGTTTAATACGAACTGTGAAATATTTAAATACTAAAAAGAATTTTACCGCTACATGTTTTTAAGTGTTGTAGTAAAACGTTGAAGAGCCCTAAAGTTAGTTAGGTATTTTCTTTTTGAAAAAAGTGTTTTACATTCTTCTTTTTAATAGTGTTGTAGTACGCTAGTGGGGTAGCTGTTGAGCATAAGATTCAGGGTTCATTCAAATCAGGCAATAGCTAGATATTTCTTGATTTGTATTCATAGTATGGATCGTGGCCTTAAGATGATCTTTCCCTATTGGAGTTTAGGTAACATAATGGGTATTTAGGTACTATCAAAAATAGTTCTACGTAAGACTTCATTAAGTGGTGTATATTTCAAGTTTTGACGTATTCAATACGACTACGAAACTTAATTTAAATAATTTAAACTTTTAACTGCTACGAGATACGTGCTACGCGCGGGCTACGAGTTACGCCTGCGGCTACGAGAATGTAACGGCGCAAACTCTTTTTATCAAAACGTAGCCATTCCGTGGTGATTAATAGTGTTTATGTTATCAGCTATAAATACAATATGTAGGGCAAGATAGAGTCGTAATTCAAGAACCGCCTCACGCCACCGCATAGCTCGGAGACAAACGCACCGGAATCCGGTTGGTATTTATTAAATTAATCGTTCACCCCGTACCCCGCGCCCACACCCGTCACACTCCACGATTAGTTCGTGTGTTTCTTGCCAAATATCCTTTATAACTATTACCGGAATACGGCCGTATTGTATGGCCAGAAGCTAACAACTAATGATCACATTACTGTTTAATTATATAAGTTATTTTTTAATTACGAGGTTAAAATTAGGTTTACGGTTTACTCATTTGCATTTTACGGCCCAATAAAGTAAGAGTGAAATTGGTTAATTTGGAGTCTACCGCGTGCGCTAAAGATTACATTGTTCAGGATACTATTACCGTCTTATCAACAGGCCCTATATAAAACAACGATATAATGGCTTAAGTTTGAGAGAACAATAAAAAGGCGTTTTATCAAACATCTTAGTAGTATCTGTTCAAAGAAAGTACGTAACGTCGTAACTTATCTATAGAGTAAATCAAGATTAATAGCTAAGTAATAGGCATGTTTGAAACAGTAGTCGCGAAACGCTCGGGTAGAGGACGAGCGGGCGAATTATAATTTATTTGGAGAAGTGGCAACGAACCCCGCACTCCCCGCGCAAGCCCGACCTACCCTTTGCTTTCGCCCTTCGTTACGGACGCACACTCCAAGCGTTGTAACTCGAAAATTAACGCTCAAGATTTTGTCTTGATTTTACATTGCTTCATTTTCACTGTTAAAAAATATTTTAAATATGGTTATTTCTAAACAATTTTGAACATGCGAGTTATTGTATTTAGTGAACAAAAAAGATTTTATAAAAACCAGATATGTATGTACTTTAAATTACAATGACGGGTACGTTGAGGAACCTAAAACAATATTAATTATTAACTGGTTTCAAACAAATACTAATTTATTTATTTATACTAATAATAATCTAAACTATCGACATAAAGCTGAAGAGTATCTTTATTTCTTTGTTTGTTTGAACATGCTAATCTCCGGGAACCACTACTGGTTCGAATCGAATAATTTTTCTTGTCCATTTATTGAGGAAGGCTATCATCATCATACTACTAGCTAGCTACCATCATCATACTACGATCAATAGGAGCAGCGAGTCAAACCGCGTGAAGCGAGTTATCAATGTCTATATAAATAAAGATCAAATTCCGTTCGTTGGTCTCGCTAAAACTCAAGATCGGCTAAACCGATTTGGCTATTTTTTTTATAAAACGTTCCCCCACATTAATATCTTCTCCTGTGTCATGAGTGCGTGGACAAACATACACGTTCACCCAAACCCGGGATAACAATCTGTGGATCACATAAAGAGTTGTTCCGTGCAGGAATCGAACCCACGCCACGTTGCGCGGCAGTCAGTTGCCCAACCACCGCGCCAACCGAGTAGTCATGTTGGTCTTAAAATGTTCGCGGGAGTTAAAAGGTGAGAAAAAATTTGTATGTGGTTCGAAGTTTGCCGGGGCACCTAGTAGTTAAATATATATTAGTGAATGATTTTTCTGAACGTATTATTATTACTTTTTTTTAACTACGAAAAAAAAGGGAATTATTATACTGTATTATGAAAATACTCTTAATTTTACTTAAATTTCGATAAATATTTTGAAGACAATATTTTTAAACAACTGAAGTATCAGAAAAACGGAAAAATGACTGAGTAACAAATTATACATTACTCATTATTTGCTTTAATTCTTTCAAGTTCGTAAGCAACATGTTATACTATATTTATTTATAGGCACTCTGACATACTAAATAAAAAAATATAAAGCAGGACGAAGCAATATAATTAATTAAGCTGCAACGCTTGGGGAGTGAACTTTATACTTTTCTGTTTTTTCTCTAGGTAGGTTGCGTTCAAAGGAGCTGGCGGGGCGCGGGGCGAGGTGGCGGGCGTGCGGGGGGAACGGAATTAAGAGGGAGGTGGGCGGGCGGCCCTCCCTGGATACTGAGAGGAGTTTTAACCAATTAATTTTGTTCCTCAACGCAAACTCCGCTATATAATAAGGTATAAGTAGGCATTAACTGAGGCGCGCCGATAGCTAGCCCGGCCGGGGGCGACTTGGTCGTCTCCTAGCCTCTTATAACGATGTTTTATTTCTTGTTAAGCTCTCTGTTTCTCCACTTTTAATATTTAATGGCATTTTCATAGCTCATTTTTTATAGCGCACTTACAAATTCCAAACATTATTGATGTTGTTTTATAGCGACGCTGTTGTTCTATTTCTAGTCAGATATTTAAGTGTTGCATACTATTTGCATAATTCCAATTGTTTACTCAGAGGTTCTATGCGAAGATAACAAGACACCTATCCACAGAATTTATGTACTGTTGTTGACGTAAGATATAAGTTTAGTTAATTGACATAATCATTTATGTAACAGTCGCTGTACCATATGCAACACCTGTCTATCGAGAAAAACATCGTCTTTGTCTAACGAACCATATGTCTCGCGCCGCTCGTGCTTTACCCACCTCCTTTCCGCTCCTAAGATATAAATACAATGTACTCATCACATACAAAAAACAAAAGTCTTCCCCTTTACCAATCCGTGACTAAACATTGAGAACCTGTATACTCCATTTACCAGAAGCGATGAGATTTAAAAATAAGATCCTTCAAAAAACACTAGCGATCGCGCTTTAGCTCGCGCCTCGCGTCAATATGACGCTCTTAAAAAACAATTCTTAACAACGGTATTGTGTTGTTAAAAAACAGGAACGCATCACCCGAAAAAACAAACCGCAGACTACGGTTAAAAAACAGAATGCAGCACGCGAGTCGAGCGAAACACCCTTTCCCTTTTGCGTCGCGAGCTACGTTTTTTCTAAGTAAAGTGAGGGTTGAGTTTTTTTACTCCGATGCCACGTATAAATTAATAACTGAACGTGCTCATAATCTGCTGGTCGGAACACTTTCGGCTTTGTTATTATTGTTTTTTTGTAATAAGTTATCATTCATTTGTTTTTGTGTGCGGTTCTGATGTGGTGGTGCAGTGGCGGAAACGAAGTCGCTCTATT